ATTTATTTTTCTAATCAATCAATCAATCAAACAACAAAAAAAAAAAAAAAAAAAAAAAAAAAAAGCAATTGCCTTGGAAATTTTTTTAGGACTCTGACTCCATATCAGTCACGAAAAAGATGAAAAAAAAAATTCCTGATTTTCTTTTATTTATTTTTACATTTTTATTTTTAACTGATTTTTGTTTTTCATTTTTTATAAATCATAAATGAAGTCAAATTAAAAAAAAAAAAAATGATGTTGTAGGGTTTTCAAAACCCTACAACCGTAGTTTTATTTTATTTTTTTCACTTATTTTTCGACCCCCAAAAAAAATCTGAAATATCGGACCGCAAACTAGGCCTGGCGGCCGCGGCTGCGGCCGACTTTTTCGGCCGTGGCAGCAAAATTGCCCGCGGCCTAGGCCGCGGGTGCCACATAGCGCTGCATCTTGTCGTTCCCCTCTTCTTGGAGTGCGACTTCCACCACCTTCTTTAACTACTTTACTTTTGCTGTTGTTGTTCCTCTTCTCGCCCTTGCACAACGTCCAATGGCTAACGCGTCTCCAGTTCGTTTTCCCCAACCTTCTTGGTGTGTCTCTCAATCTCCCTCCGGGTTGGGATAGCTGCACACCGGGAAGCCTCTTCCATGATCTGTTTTTTGGACGGCGTCTCGATCGCGATCTGCTAATGCCTTTGCACGGTCGGCCTCCACCTCATCTTCATCAACCGGAGCACTTGCAGCAGCAACTCGATGTCCGTGTCCAAGTGTTGGAACTCAACGTCAGACTGTGGATAGTATTGAGAGGAGCTTTCCCTCCTGGCCTGTGTAGAAGCTGCAGGCTGCTCCTCTCTCCAACGTCGTGCAGCTGCTCTTCTACCGACATACATAGTGCCCAGGGGCCGTGACCAATGGCTTGGCACCCAGCTCAAAATCGGAATCACTTTCATCATCCTCCCCCTCCATGCCGCTCGACTTATCCAACAATCCACACTTCCCCTTCCACAACTCGTCATCCAGTGTCGTCCCCCGTACGTCGTAGGGGGGGTCTCCGTACGGCCCATGCATACGCACGGACGGATGCCCGTACGGCCGTACGGACAGTTCCCGTCCGAACGAGCCAGGGGCCGTTTGGGGGGTGCCGGGGGGGTTCTGAGGGCCTGGGGTGGTGGGATGGGTGTGGAGGGGCACTGCCATGTTTTTGGGGGGAAATAAAATAAAAAAAAATCCGCTGAAAAATGAAAAACAAAAAAGGACTGCCTGCCTCCCCGCCTGTCTCTTATACACATCTAGATGTGTATAAGAGACAGGGCTGGGACCCGCGGGGACGCAGGCAGTCCTTTTTTTTTTCATTGTTCGCAGGCAGTCCTTTCTTTTTTCATTGTTCAGTGGAAAAAAAAAAATGAAGGCAGGTGGACTCGGGGGCCTTGGGGGAAGGAGCCCGTCGACATCTGCATATAAGTGAGATTGTGGGCATCAACACCAACAGTTTGTGTTGTCGCCCACAGATTGTGTTGTCACCCACAATTTGTGTTGTCGCCCACGCAAAAGTGCGGGAAGCTGTTGTTGAGGGCAACAGAGAGAGAAAGAGAGAGAGAGAAAGAGAGCGACAGACGACGACGACGACGTGGAAGGCGAGCGGGAAGAACACGGCGTCAGCCGCCAGGGACGGCGAAAGACGCGGCCGTCTGAAAGCACACGCCGCGTACGTACGTGATGACCCCGTATAAACGCTGCGTACGTACGGGCGCTTCCGTACGCACATGCCGGACGCCTAAAGTGCGTGCGACGCAGCGGCTGCTAACGTGCGGCTGCAGAGGGTTTCCAAGCGCACGCACGAGCGATCGAGAGAGAGAGAGACTTCGTGGAAAGAGAGAGGAGAGTTCTGATTTTTCTTTCTCTCTTCTACTTCTTCTTTCTTTCTCTTCTTCATCCTCTTCTTTCTTCTTCCATTTCTTCTCCAAGTTTTCTTTTTTCTATTTCTTTTTTTTTCTTCTTCTTCTTCTACTCCTTTGATCTTAATCTTCTTCTTCATCTTCTTCTTCTTCTTTCTTTCTTCTTCTCCTTCTTCTTCTTCTTCTTCTTCTTCTTCTTCTTCGTCGTCATCGTCGTTTTTTTCTTTGTTTTCTTTTCGTCTGGCTTTTCTTCTTTCATCTTCCTTTTCATCTTCCTTTTCATCTTTCTTCTTTTTTTTCTTCTTCTTCTTCTTCTTCTTCGTCGTTTTTTTTTTTCGTGTTTTCTTCGCCATTTTTCTTTTCTTGTTTTCTTCATCTGCCTTCTCTTCTTCTTCTTTCGTCTTCTTCTTCTTCTTCTTCTTCTTCTTCTTCTTCTTCTTTTTCTTTTTCTTTTTCTAATTATTCTTCTTCTTCTTCGCCGAGAGAGAGAGAGAGAGAGAGAGAGAGAGAGAGAGAGAGAGAGAGAGAGAGGCAGCACAGTACGCACGGAAAGTGACCCGTACGTATGCGGCGGTTGTACGGTGTCCTCCGTTCGGACGGGCCGTACGGCGTACGCCTAAACCTCACCGTCCATACGGGCGGGGGGGCGGCTGGTCAGAGAGAGAGAGAGAGAGAGAGAGAGAGAGAGAGAGAGAGGGAGACACGGATGGCAGCAACGACGAGAACGATGACGACGACCGACACGAAGACGGCGCCGACGGCGTGGAAAACACGTGGCGGCCCGCAAACGTCCAACGGCCAACCGTACGTACGGCCCGTCTGCGGACGTATGACACTTTCGTACGGGCACTTCCGTACGTACAGTCCGTGCGCTTGACCCGGCGGACGACGGCAAGGACGGATTTGCGGGACGGGCGGGGGGTGGGGGAGCGGGGGGAAGGAGGGTGGGGGCGGGGGGGGGGGGGGGTGGAGCGGGCCGTACTGTTGGGGGGCGCTATTGCCTGGTTCTGACTTTGTGCTCTATCTACAATGGGGCCCAAGAAAGGGAGGGGAGACCAGCCGTTTGTCCGTGTCAGTAAGGACAAACAGAGGGCGGCAGAGCTGAAGTTCTGCGGGTTCAAATTGATCACGAAGGGGCAAACGCTGCCGAGCTCCAATGGGAATTTCCTTATGGAGTGCAAATTGTGTGGCCAGGGGTTTCAGGGCAGTCAAACGAAGGCCGCTGCGCACTTCACGATAAAGAACAATTGTCCCAAAGTCTCTGTGGAGCAACTGGCGGAGATTTGGAACAGGACGAACTATACGTTCGATCAGAGGCATTGCCGGAAGATCCTCGACTTCTTGAAGTCTCGTGGATATCGCGACAACAGATGTACTTCAGGGAGGGAGCAGGCGGGGGAGGAGGAGAACGAGGACAGCGAGGACAAGAGGAGGGCGGTCGAGGGTCGAGAGGACGATGATGACAGCAATATGTCGGCCATGGACGTGCGGAGAGAGGTGGAGCGCGCCAGGGGCAAGATGAGGGGGGAGAAGGCCATCGACGAGGACAGCACTCCGAGCGAGGACAACGACAATCAGGACACGGACATTGGAGCCTCTCTTGATGGGGACCTGATGGCCGGTGGCCGTCGAGGCCAAGAGGGGGCAGCCAGAGCGATGATGGAGGCAAGGGGATCGAAGAAGCGAAAGAGGAAGGCAAAAAATAATGTCGCGGGGACTCCACCGGCACCCCCTCCGACGAAGAAGAGCAAGGTCCTTCGACAGACTTCCATGGTCGAGGCCTTCAATCCGGTCTGGCAACGTGATTTTTCCAACTACTTCCTGCAGTGGTACTACGTGAGCACCATTCCATTCCAGGCGGCGAGGAGGCCAGAGTACCACGGAATGAGGAAGCACTTGCTTGCGTGTTTGTCGTATACACATCCTGCGTTGCCCACGCACCGTGTGATTTCGGGCGACGACATCCCTGAGCAGCAGCGAGTTGTGGCGGAGTTGGTGGTGGCTGTCCGCAAGGACATTGCGGCGACGGGAGCGACTATCCTTACAGATGGTCGCAAGTCCATCACAAGTGACCAGATAGCAGTGCCGGTCCCGTGAATGTGACCGGTCACGGGGGCCGAAATCTGTGAACGGCCATTCACGGGGTTTCCGCCCACGTGGAGGCCGGAACGGTCGGGATCCGGGTGGTGCAGGGGCCTTCTACACCCCCGTGCCTTCAAAAAAAAAAAA